CCGATTATTGCTGTTCCTTCAGTCATTTCCAGTCACGTGGCTAAGTCCCAAGTAATATGTAAAAAAAAAATTTTTTTTTTTTTTTTCCGTGCAAATATTAGTTTAAAAACAATAACGCTTGGTTGCTGCAAGTCACCATTGTTAAGAATCTATGATAATTATTTAGGAAGATCAAATTAGATTCAACATTTCAAACTTAACAATTTTTATTTCATCTTCACCTCCAAACTACACACGTGCACCATCGCGCGCGTTCGACGACTGACTCTCTCCTTGAGAATCTTGGGATAGAATTTTGTGGTCTGTAATCATGTGCTGCCATCTCTCGGCTGTTCTGGGGTTAAATTGGTATGATATTTTTTTAGACTTTTCCAAATAAAATAAACCACAACATATGTTGGAAAAATTAATGTTATAATAAAAAAAAATTTATAAATAATTACGATAACATACTGGCATAGACATGGAAAAATGCTATAAAGTCATCAAAGAATACTGTTATAGAAAATATAACCCACTGTAAAGATTTGATCCAGAATTTCTGTTTTTCACCTTTCTTCTTTCCATGTGTAAAACCCAGAACGACAAGGGAAACGTAATGGGATATGAAACTTTTTTTACAATTAAGTTTTTATATAGAGGGTCTGGGAAAGAAGTAATAAAAAAGAACAATACATACAACTAAAATCAATGTGTTTATTGCATTGTGGTGTACATGGCTAATTAAAAAAGTTTTATTAGCCAGGAAGACAGGAGCAGAGTGTACTTGATCCCTTCAGATTTCTTTTTGTGTGGGTTTGTGAAGGAAAGAGTGCATCAAACTCCTGTGACTAATGTTCAGATTTTCACGCCCAAATTACACAGGTGATGGAATGGCCATACCAATGATTCTTTTGAATATGTGGAAAAAGTACTGCGCAGATATAGTCACGTTAAAAATGGAGCTTGGAGTGGACTAAAACTTTGAAGTAATTTCTTTAACCTATATACCACAATGCAATAAAACATAGTGATTTTGGATCTATATGTTGTTCTTTTTCAGACAGCTTATATATATTTGATAAAGTAATCTAACCAGAAATTTAAAATATTTTCCTTCCCCCCTCTCCACTTTTGCTACCCAAATTTTTGTAAATAATTCTTACTAATAATAAAACTTAACATCAGAGGAAATCCTTAATGAAATATAAATTTTTAATTATACAATATTTAATATTATAAACATTACAGAAAAAAAAAATTTCCTCAGCCAATCACTATGGCAAATAAAAATTGCTACACAGGTAAAATTTCTTCAGAAGTAAAACATACTGTTATATTGCACATATTCTTAATACTTTCATATACAATTACAGCATATTAATAATATTCAATTATCATAGAATAAAACCATTAATAATTCAATACAAATTAATTTACAAAAGTCTATGCAACAATGAAGCAGGTTTATGTCGAATATGTCTCAGTTGGAAGTCTTTAATATTTCTAGCAGATGCAGAGAAAATGAACAATATAATGGTTAATTAGTGACAGGAAGTGCTGAGAAAATATCTCATATTTCAATATTTTTGGACGTCCAAACACGTTATCTCTTGCATACTAATACAAGATCAGTTGGCTCTAAGGTAAGCAAAAAAAAAAAAAAAGGGGGGGGGGAGAGCTTTAGCAAAATCATTGCGCAGCATAAAAATAGTACTTTTGTATTTGATTTCAGCAGGAAATAAGATATCTCCCACATAGAAGTTAACACATTATTCTGAAAACACCCAAAGATATGCATGGCTTAAGGGTGTTTTTTTTTTTTTTTTTGAGACCATTCACCTTGGATACCACTCCTAGGTAAACAAGTTATGGATGCTCTGATATGACAGCAATTCTGCTTAAAGGTCACAATCTTTGAATATGCCAATCACTGAATTTCTGGACAAAGCAAGGAATCTTGTCCACTGTAATATCTCGTTATTTAATAAATAACTATATTTATTGTTGAAGTGGCAATGCCATATTTGCATTATGTAACCGTTGCTCAGCAATATGAGAAATTGTTTTAAAAATTAGAATTCTGAAGTTTTTACCAGCTAGTAGTAGTATGAAAGTTTTGCCACTAAATAATTTCTTCAAATTATCTATCTCCGTGAGCTAGAAATAAAATTTATGTTCTGATAAGAAGATTGCCTGTTTTGTCAATTACTGCAAAAATACAGTACACCACCAACATATATATTCTCTTGAACCTGAACAATATCACTTCTTGTTTCTCAGATAGCACACCAACTTAAGAATTTTCAACTTCTGAATGCAAACAAATTTGAAACATGTCATGCTAAATGAAATGAAAGGCATCTTGAAGAATGAGTTCTACATGGGCTTTGAAACCCCCTGCAAATGTTATCAGAATTAGATCACTGTGAAAGGGTCTTTGAATGTTAATACATACTAAAACTTTAAAGAGATAGATCTAGTCCTTGAATGCTTGACATTTTGATGCCTATCTTTTATGCGAAATACTTTTTGAGGCAAATTAAAGATTTTTACATCAATTAACACAAGAAACATGTTAACATGTTAATGCATTGTAATAACAAACAATATTTTAAGGGTTCATTTATAAATATTTCAAACACGCTCAGTATTAAGATTAAATATTTTATTACAAAAATTACTTTCTATATAATATTTTAAAAACGATTTTGCAAAAAGTATTTCTTTTCTTACACTTTAGCCATACTTTTTTTTAGGCAGAAGGGACATATTTTAGATCATTTTAATTAGTTATTATTACTTTTATTTAATTCTTATACTAATAAGATTAAAAGATTAATAAATCTTGGCAGCTAGCCTGATATTTGAAATTTAGAGATGAAATTTGAGTGTTCGTCAGATTATGCAGGATCCAATGCAAACCAAATCTTTTTTTATGGCCAAACGTTCATGAAATATCTTATTGATGATGCCCAAAGATGTCTCTATCTCACAATATGTGACATGATGATCTTGCTTTATGAGTTCACACACAGCATTTATATCTTTTAGCATAACAACTGATTTCAGACGACCTTCACAGAATTCGTCCAGGAGCGAACATCGACCATGACTGAATTCGTTATAACAGTTTTTTACAGTGCTGTAGGATGGTGCTTTATCACTGTATAAAGAACTAACAAGTTCTTCGAAGTATTCTTATCTTGATAATCCGTATCAAAGATTATGAAAAATAATTGCACAAAAATGTTCACAACTCAATTCTATTTTTTGCCCGAGATGAATTTTTCAATAATTTTGTAAACAATACAAATCATGCTAAAATGGCTAAACATTCTGAAGAAGTAATGGTTAAAAATATCAAACTTTCGACTGTAATCGTCTGCAGTCACCTAGCAATGCTTACTGTTGCCCCAAGGCCAGAAATAGAAATAGCAACCTATGTATAATAAGCAATGACCACAATTAGACATTTTTTTTTTTTTTTTTTTTAAGTGTAACACTTTCCAGTTTTCTTCATGCAACTTTTTCCTTCTCCTTCTTATGGCAGAAACTTCCTTATTTATACATTTTCATTAAGAAGGTAAGTTAATTAAATCATTGCATTTTTAACCCATAAGTAAAAGTGTATATTTATAAACCCTTGATACACATGAGGGATACATATTTATTCTAAGTTTGTCACAAAATTAAATTACGAATGGAAAAAAAAGCTTTATAGGATCAGAGGAAATTATTTCAAAATTTAGACTGAATGTGATTAGTAATTTTACACGAACTAATACATTTGATGGAATTTATTACATTTTACTTCCTTCTGTGATTTTTAAATAGATTCTCTAGGAACATCTTTAGCCAAAATTACACATATCTGAGCTTAAATACTTAATTCACAAAATGTTTTGAAAAATATTTTTTCCCCTTCCTCTTCTACATATTTAAAAAAATTCTTACGAACTTCTGCTTATAAATTTTTTCGGCTTCATTTCAAATTTTTGACTAACCAGTAAAATTTCTACTATACTAGAAATCATAAACATGTATCACAACTATAATAAACAAATGTTTTACTATTAATATTTACACGTAATGGAATTATACGATACATTGAGAAGCACAATCATATTGCATGAAAAGAAATGAGCATGCTTGCCATGAATACTAAAAAGGAACAACAATAGAATACAATAGCTGGAAGATTTAAAAGGGTGTAAAACTAAAGTTATTTTTCTAAAAAATCTTTTAACATCAATGACTTAAAAAAAAAAAAAAAAAAAAAAAAAAAAAAAAAAAAAAAATCATAAATGCCAATCTTAAGATCTTGAAAACTTGGAGACTTAAAAGCTTTCCTGCTACGTGGTGATACCATTTCAAAGGAATTCTAAACAGACTTTAAATCACTTCATTACATATGGTTTGGGTTACTGATCTATTTGCAATTCAATTCTAATACAAATTAATATCAAATTAGTTAATACAAATTTTATGTCCTTTCATTAATTTCATTTTGAAAATTTTCTCATACTTTTATGCCAAGAAAATTGAGTAGTGAAAGAAGGCTTTAATTTATCAAAATACTTTTAAATACGTTGAAAATAAATAATTACTGTGCATAGTATTTTGTGTTGTAAACTCAATAATGTGATATATATTGAAGCAAACAAAATACAAATATTTACTAATTAAACATTGCTTGAATCTTCATAGAAAATCTACAAATGGCTAGAGTAGATTCAGACATTTCAGATTAAACAAAATTTAACAAGACAAAAATCAATAAAATGTAATAAGGGGAAAAATCTATAATTAGATGAAATAAAATTATTCTTAAAATCATAAGAGCTGTGAGAATGAAATTAGCCTAATTTAAGTCTCATGAATTCTATAAACTTCATTTATTACTGCAAATACTAAATATTAAAAACAGGGCGATATGATGAAAAATCAGAAGAGCTGGCAACTATGATATATCAATATAAAACTAATCCTGTTAGATATTTAGAAATTTTTAAACTTACCAATAATATCTAATATTCCCAAATTCAAACTACGAGGAGTGTCATCTACAAGAATGTTTCGGTCATTGAGGCACAGTATTATCTCAGAAGCTTTCAGGTTGAATAAATTAGCAACTCTTTCAAATATAGAAGCAAATTTCTCTTTCTGCATAAAATATAATTTCAAATCAATAATTATTGGAACAGCTTGTATATATTTGACAAAGTATTCATACATAATTAATACTACTAATAATATTAAGTACTGATACATAATTGAATTAGTGAATGCAAAAAATATATATGCTGTATTAATTCTTTAAATAAATTTTAAATCAAACAATTATATGTAAAAGTGTCAACATATCCTAAAGCTATTTTGCATTCCATAAAGTGAACAATAAACAGATACAAGAAATACATTTACATATAGTAGGATCCAAAGATCTGGTGTTAGCATGAGGTATATAAGAGCAACAAATCTGTTAAGATTTTTTTTTCACCGAATTATAATACTTCTGGGCTGAAAAATTTTTTCCCCATGTTATATGATCTGTCTAGTATTTCCAAGTAAGGTGCTTTGTAGTTTTCAGTGTATGGAAAATTAAATTTATTGAGCAGTTGATGAACTTTAAATGTTTGGCTGTGTTTGGAATTTACAAAAGTCTATGCAACAATGAAGTAGGCTTATGTCGAAAATGTCTCTTTTGAAAGATTTTAATGTTTCTAGTAGATCCAGAAAAAATATCTCATATTTCAATACTACTGGACCTCCAAACACATTATCCCTTGCATACTAATAAAAGAATCAGCTGGTTCTAAGGTTAGCAATCATTTCAGAAAAAAAGGCCTTAGCAAAATCATTGCACAGATAAAGATAGTACTTTTATATTTGATTTCAGCAGAAAATAAGATATCTCTCACACAGAAGCTAACACAATATTCTAAAAATACCCAAACATATGCATGGCTTAAAGGTGTTTTTTGACATTATGAGTACTATTGGATACCACTCCTAGGTAAACACGTTATGGATGCTCTGATAAAAGTCAGAGACTTTGAATATGCCAATCACTGAATTTCTGGCCAATGCAAAAAATCTTGTCCACCAACAAATATAATATTCTCCTGAACCTGAACAATGCGACTTCTTGTTTCTCAGATAGCACACCAACTTAAGAATTTTAAACTTCTGAATGCAAACAAATTTGAAAAATGTCATGCTAGATGAAATGAAAGGCATCTTGAAGAATGAGTTCTACATGGGCTTCGAAACCCAACCCTCTACAAATGTTATCAGAATTAGATCACTGTGAAAGGGTCCTTGAATGAAAATATATACTATAACTTTAAGAACATGGATCCAGTCCTAAAATGCTTGACATTTTGATGCCTATCTTTTATGTGAAATATTTTTTGAGGCAAATTAACCACTTAAATGCCGCAGGTGTACATATATATGCCCTTCCGAAATGCTATCATTTGCTTTGCGCTGCTGCCAGTAAAATTACTGGCAAAGCTTTGGAATGTAACATCACAATGACATTGACAGAGTATGCAAAGGAGGATATTATTTCAGAGAAGGGGGAGGAATTGGAAGGGGGGCTGTTTCCGAAATGGTGAAAGTAATGACTGCACAGTTATTGGGTTGTGTTTCTGCTTAAGTAAAACTTTTTTTTTTTTTATCCTACGTCTTCCGTTTTTGTTTACTGTGTGTGGCTTTTTTTACGAATATATCTGACAGTGATGACTAACTGACTGTGCAGTTATTGCTCGCGTTTCTGTTTGAGTAAAAAGTATTTTTTTTATTCTGTGTCTTTTGCTTTCATTTACTGTTTGTAGTGTGTGCTTTTTTTACGAATATGTATGACAGTTAAATAGATGATTACCTTCCGTCATCTTCATGATCGGACACCTCAGAATATGATATTACGTCAGATGAAAAGGATTGCAACTATTCTTTGAAAGAAGCTCGCTGTTGGGTACGACTTGGTATAAAAAATGTGCCTATGCTGCCCCCGAACTTTCCATTTAGGTATACTGATTTTAAAAGGCATAACACTGAAACCTGATATTACACTTTACTAGTCTAAAAATAAATTGATCGAAACTCCATTTTTTGGGGATATTTTTTATTACCTTTTTATCATACAAACATCATTTTTATTATATTTACATCTTTTTTTTTTTTATACTTTTACTCTAAACATTAAATTTTGTATTTTCATTTTTTCTTTTATTCTTTATTTTGTGAAAGTAAACAGGTTTTAGACAGCAAAACTTGCACTTTTCCCCCCTAATACATCGCATAACTACGTGTGCCCGTGTAAGAAATGTTTGCACTGAGGAGTGAATCTTGTATGTTTTCCGGGGCAGTTAAGGGGTTAAAGATTTTTGCATCAATTAATTACCACTAAAAAAAAAAAAAAAAAAAAAAAAAAAGAAACGTGTTAATGTTTTGTAATAACAAACAATATTTTAATGGTTCATTTATAAATATTTCAAACTCACTCAGTTACTCAGTATTGAGATTAAGTATTTTATTACAAAAATTACCTTCCATATAATATTTAAAAAAACTATTTTGCAAAAAGTATTTCTTACCCTTTAACCACTCCCTTTTTTGGGGGGGCAGATGGAACCTATTTTAGATCTCTTTAATTAGTTATTATTAGTTTTACTTAATTCTTATACTAATAAGATTAAATGACTAATAAATCTTGGCAGCAAGCCTGATATTTGAAATTTAGAGATAAGAATAATTCTCAGCGTTAAAAGGCTATAGCAAATAGCTACAATATACTGAAGTAATGAAATGCAAGACCGCTAACACATATACACACAAACAGTAAAAATTAATAATAATAATAATTAAAAAAAGGAAGGAACTAATAATTAAGTAAAGTAATGCTTTGCTATGAACATTTAGATTTCAAGAGTAATAAGCTTTAATAATAATTCTTATAACTTTTTGTCACATTAATACTATATGAAAATAAATTTAAGTAATTTGTTGCGATGGATAAAAATCAACTTTTTAAAATATGACTTGCACATACAAGAAATCTTTTCAGATGCAAACAAATTTTTACTTAAGAATGTTAACTGCAAAAAAGAGAGAAAGAAACTCCTTTTTTATTTCAAATTTCAGCAAGAAAAGTCATTAAAAGTATTTTTTATCTACAAAACTGGAAAGCTATTTGAAACTGCTCATGTATTTATTTAAAACTGATTTACATTAAGAACATATAGTGTCCAATGTACCAAGAAAAATCTGTCATCTAAAATCAAATATATCTTTTAAACAGTAGAAATGGAAGTATTACTACTGACTGTTATATTTAGTATGAAGTTATATTAGCAAAAGTTAATGAAGGATTAGTTTTAAATCTTTAAACTTAGGTTGTAATACATAATTCTCCCAAAAATATCTTTAGTTGACCTTTTATCAAGGATAACCTTTAGAAGAAACCTCTTTTTCACTTTACTCTCTCCTACTGAAATTATGTAATAATTCTTTGACATTAATGCAACAATGCTTTGACATCTTATTATTCATTGTCTTATTTCTAAGCATAGCAAATAGCTGAACTGGCACATTCAGTGAAACTAGGAGAGATAATTTAATCTATATTTACTTTAACTAATTGTTGAAGTAATTTCATATGACAATCACTAAAAACCCACAAAAAGAACTTGAAGGGGGAAAACAAATGCCGCACGCCACCCAAAATAACATAACTTTTTATTATGGTGAGAAAAAAGAGTAATTAGATCTCAGCAAACAATAATATTGAATAAGTGATTTACTGTAAAAACAATAAATCTAAGCCAATAGTAAAATATAAAAGTGGAAATAAAAGAAATCTAGCATTTTAAAATAAATCAAAAACACAACTGTTACTAAAGTACAATATACTTACAGCTGATTCTAAACAACAATAAGTAAATATATTATTATCATACCCGCCAATTTAGAAGACCAAAAGTAGAAGTTTTTTGACAAAAATTCAGAAAAAAGTATAAATTGAATTTTAGAGAGAAAACTACACACCTATTTACTATTTTGAAACTACTGTAAAAACTTCACTACATCTACTGTGTTGCTTAAATTTTAGAATCAAGATATATTGTCATAAAATATGCAAACAAACAATTGAATCAAAATTTTTAGAGATGAGAATAATTTAAGTCACCAAACTTGACAATGCATGAAGAAATTTATGGTCCAAAAAAGATTTAAAATAGCACCTCAAACGTCTTACAACAGAACACATTTTAAATATTGTTTTGATGGTAAATAAGCCCAATTTTTTCCAACCTTGCAGAAAATTGCAAAATTAGAATATTTTTGTAAAAATTAAGAAAAAGCCACAATAGTTGGTATGTGTGTGCCAAATTTCCTGAAAATAAGACCTAGTTAAAATATAAGCCCTAGCTTGATTTTTCAGAATGCATTTAACTCTACCTCCAAAATAAGCCTTACTGAAAGACTTGTATTGATATCATCGGTCAGCCCAGTCTCGAGATGCAGGCTGAACTAACTTGCACATCTATAGGGAATGATTTTGTACACGTGTCACACATGAAGTCATTTTGCATTTATAGGAGAAATACCTATTTTATAATCTGTAAACTTAAAAATGATAAGAATTCAAAGCATCACAACATTGGAAGAAGGCTTCTTTCAGTGTTATGGATAGTCTCAAAGAAGATCTAAAGATTCTTGAAGTTAAAAATCAAAGTTATTGAATGTACACTTGCTTTCAAATCTTCTGTTGAGTCTAAATACCAAATCTCTAACAACTGATTAGAGCAGTGCCTCACCAATCTACATTCCCTCTACTGCTTACAAAAGTGAACCTGTTACTTATGTTTTGGTAATTCATCTAGATGGGAGAAAAAGCCTTGCTGTAGTCATCACCAAGAATAAGAGAGGTAAAACTTAACAAGTTTCAAGTAATAATACTCTTGAAACTGTAAAGGTATGATGCAAACAAGGAAATATAAGGAAATGGATTGATTTTAATGCTACTATCATTTGTTTTGTGTGGTGGCTATGGAGGACTACATATATCACAATCCCAGAATCTTAACAGCGCAACAAACAAGCCATTCAAGAACAAAACGCTGATGAAAATAAATGACTGCACTAAAAATAGAATGCAGCGTGGCAACTATAAAAAAGCTTACCCTGCAAAAAGGTGTGACTTAGAATCCATGGAATAAAATTACTGATAGCTGTATTGCCAATGGATTATAAATGGCAACGTGGACATAAAGTGCACATTTAAGGCCATCTTGCTAGTAGACATGCGAGATTAGCACAAACAGTTCAACAGAAACGGGAGTTGCAAGAAATGCAGGCTGTAATTCAGGTTTGAAAACTTATGATAATACAAAAATGCACAACTGTTCTTGAATAAAGGAAAATTTTTGTACATGAATGTATGAATAAATGTAAATTGTTGAAAATGAATAAAAGTAAATTGTTGTGCATGCAAAAATATCGGTGGAAAATAAGTCCTAATGCTTTGCTTGGAGGAGAAATTAACACAAGTCCCGGTTTTATTTTTAGAGAAAAATGGTATAACAGAACATTAAAATTTGATTTATATGCATTTATATAAATAACTCGTAATACATATATTACAAAATTAAAATTACACAGTTAATGAAAAAAGTTTTACAATTCACATATAGTTTTTCATACCCGAGTTCCTTAAAAATATACTAGTCTTGTAATAAATAAAGCTCCAAAAGAACTCTGAAATTTTACCTCCTTTACTTTAATTTTGGATATTTCTGAAATGTATCTGATTTTCAACAGGACATCTCGCTGATAATCCTCCTCCTCATCATCATCACAGATGATGTCACCCAGGTCATCTCCATCCACAGGCTGTACATCTGAGTTGCTTTTCTCTAAAATACTAATAGTAATGAAAGGCAGCATTTATTAATAAAATGCACCTAATTATCAATGAAAAAAATATCACATTAAAGGCTAATTTAATTATATGGTTATTTAGATCTTGTTCGTGAATAAATAATTAAATAGAACAAAATTAAGAGGCCAGAACAAATTGAAACATAATAAAAATATAAACATGAAAATTATCTCATGTAAAAAGTGTTTTCATATATTTGAAAGATTTATTGTTAAACATATATTTCTCTTTTATGAAAATGCCTTTGTGTACTACAATAAGTATATCTGTATACTATAATAAGTGTAACAGTAAAGTTAAGCCTTAAAATTTATGCTTTCATATTCAGTACCTGTAAAATATCTTATACCTATCTTATTTCATATTTGGTACCTGTAAAATATCTTAAACCTTTTTGAGCAATGAATATTTATAATGTAACAATGAAAATGGAAACTTCTAACCTTAGTGACTATGCCATAAACATAAATAAATAAATAATAATAATAATTGCTTGTGCCCACTGTAATTAATAGTTTAAACACATTTAATATTAATATTTGGTTCAAATATTGGAACATCCTATAAATAACAGGGTTTTTCAATTGAACTATGAGGCAGAATGGATGGGATAAACCATCTGTATGAACTCATTATAAAAGTAGACAGTAATTTTACCTTACTTTGATTTTTCATGCAATATTTGAAGAGTGCAGTTCAATTTTAAGAGTTATTTTTCAAAGCTAAATGAAAGTAACAAAGGAGCATATTTTACTTTATGAGTTCCATTAATTATTAATAGGAGTTTTAATGTACTATATTGGGATCGGACAATAAATGTAAGCCAGTTTCAATGGTGGTTCTAAAAATTCTGACCTGGAAACAACAGTCTAGAAGACAAGTTTCTTTCTGGAAGATTTGTAGAGCTCAACGAGGAACGAAATTACCAGGACATCCTGGAAACCCTGATGGAATGAAATCCCACAGTTAACTGTTGAATTAGCAGTAGAAGAGGAATAGTGTATTTTAAATGAAAAAAAGAACCTTATCTTAATTTTAGAAAATACAAGGAGCATGATTTATAGAATGACCCAATACATTAGATTACATTTTCAAAATGCAAATATACATAACTGCCTCGATGTCAGTTTAGCATAACTAAACGTCTATATCAATCACATAATTTTATGATATTTTGTATCATGAAAAATAAATTTCTTATTTTCAAGAAATAATAAATTATTTTAAAGTCCAAAATAACAGCACAGACTGTATTTGATTTGATTTCATATGAAAAAGAGACTACATTTTAGATTGATAATTTTATTTTTTTAGATGAAATTAGATTTAGGGTATTTAGATGAAATATTAAAAAAAATCTTAAATTGAAGTTAATCTCACATCAACATGGACAAAAGAACTACATTTGTTGCTACGTAAGAATAAATTACTTTCATGTATAATTTAAAAATATATGCTCAGCCATAAGGCTTCAAAACTGGAAACTGAATGACCTAAACATTATGCCATGTGAGCCAGTTACAAAATTTTTACAACATTTTCTCACAACTATTTAACTTTCATGAACATTATCATAAAAGTTTTCCTTTTTTATGCCTGAAACATTTAAAGTAATTAAAACTTGAAATAAAATATATAAATAGTTTTAATTTTAGGTAAATATTCAGTTGATACAAAAGGATAATAAATCTTATGGAAAAGTGCAGGTTTTTCATACATCTTCAAACCGCCTCAACAATATGATAACAACAAAAGCTGACATTCCCATAACACATTTTGAATTTGAATTTTTGACAATGCACGTTTACAACTGTAATGAATTTGCAACAAAAGAGCACTTAAAATCTGTAGAGGGGAGAAAAAAAAAACTTCTTGACAGACTACAAGGGGTACCCAAAGTTTATATTCTATCTGTGGGATTACTATATCAAAATTAAGGATAGGTAAATTTGTTAACTACTGGTAGCTCAACATGAGTTGAAATCCTGATGATGGATGCGTGAAAGTTTTAATGGTCTTCTCCATGGGTAATGTGGATATGAGCTAGTTTCCCTTAAATATCTTCTAAAAAGGCATGTCTTCCAGGCAGATAGCCCCTGAGTTGCTCTGTCTTAATTAATTAACCTAGCAACAAATTTCAGGGCAGAGCCTAGGAAAATAATCTTAGTGTGCTTTGTCTGTGTTAAACAATATAATCTACACATTTCTATATATAATTACTGTAAAATGAGGACAATTTCTAATATTTAGTAAGTTTAGAAATTTCTACAGATGTGATGTCAAAAAATATTGTATCCTAAATGATCCATAAGAAAACCCAAATCAAGACTTCCATAAGACTGTCTTTAATCTGATGCAATGACTATTTGAAATAATGTCCTTTCCTGAAGGGTTATAATATAAATCAACTGTAATTATTCAGTTCCATAACCTGTATTAATAGAATTAACAGCATTGGAAATTCCATCAGAATCTACTGATATTTGGGAATCCCTTATGTAACAGCAGCTTTGGCAAGAAAAAGTTGGTTTCTAATATGCACAAGCAAAATCATTCAAAGCTTATGATCTGCATATATGCATGTAGTTTATGATTCTTCAGCTAGCAAAAATTTTCTCTGCTTTTTAATGTTAAATATTACACATGCTTACTAATTTCTTCCCCCTGATGGTGATCGATGAAACAAAAAGCATACAGGTATGAATCATTATCACTTGGGAGTTCTCCCCAACAAAGTTTATATGTTCAGACATCATGCCAACTGTGGCTGCTAATAATGTATTTAACACATTATTAGTAGCAACAGCTCTCTATGCCACCAAAAAACGCCTGTTTAAAGTAAAAATAAAGCATGTTTCTGTACATTCTTTAAATATGCTGCTTAACCAATTAACTGTTTTGTCCGAACACCATTTGGGTGCCATGAAAAGGGACCCTTTTTTGATTTGCCTGCACACCATTTGGGTAGTTCATTTTCTACATCAATCCACTGATTTTCCTGGTCTTTTTCCCATTATTTACTTTGCAGTGTTTCCAATATATGTCTCTTGTAGTTCAGGAGAGACTGGATTGTAAAACCAGTTCAAGGACAGGTTTTAATGCTTTTCATTATGTACAGAAATTCAGCGGGTTTGTTTGCACGTGTTCAGTGTATTAAGCTTTGCAAATAGTATTTCTTCCCAATTTTAAAAGAACGATGAGCGACAGTAAATGACTCATAACAGAATATAATTCTGATATTGGATCACATAGCGGATCTGGATTTTCTATAAATGATTCTGGTAGTCCTGAAAATTCTTTATAAGAATTCTCCAGTGATGATGAGGAAACAGAAAGTTCAGATGATCTAATTCCTGTTCAGAACTTTTGTGAAATGGACACTAGTAATCCTCTTCCATGATTTCCTTTCACAGCGAATTCACTTCTTTCATATTTATTTTCTGTAAAGCGTTTCTTCCAGTTTTGCAGTTTCATCAGAAAAAAGGCAACTTTAAGTAAAAGTGCCTTAATTTCGCCATAATTAAAAAGTATCTTAAATTAATAAATGCAATACTTGTTACAGTTTTGATTGCTGATTTGAATTCATGTAATCAATTAGAATACAAAACTGTTCATAAAAAATATACTTATCTTTGATCACAATATAGCAAGAAAATGAAACAGTTAAATGTTTAAAAATCATAAAATACTAAATAAAATAATAAATATGAATTTATATTAAATTGCTTTTGTATGTTACATTAAAAAAAAAACTATACATTGTAGATACTGAATGTATTTCTTGCATGCATCGGTTACCATATGAAACCATTTCTCTCTTACAAAAATTGAGATGTGCCAATTCCTGTTTTTTTGCCAAGGCCAGTGCTGCAAATAAGGGTATGCTAGAAATGCCATTGTATAGAGGACAGAAGGCTTAGGGGGCTCTTGAATGTCCTGCTGAACTACATTTATAAGTTTAAAAGACAATGAATACATAGGTCTGTCTTAAATTTTTAAGGGCTTCCTATATATATATATCAGGTCATCATATATGTGTATATAAGAGGCAAGTAGGAGCCCTTGAATGCAGATAAAAACAGTTGAATTCAGTCTTGCACTGAATACAAAACAGAAAAGCAGTATGCTTTTGTTTTGATTTCCCCTCTAGAGGTGAGCTTTCAAGTCACCAGTCATTAACCATGGCCAGTCTGTTGCTTGGGTTTATTGTCAAAATAAGTTCTGAATTTCTTGAATACAAGCACATGACAAAGGTGGCAAAAAAGAAGATACAAGAAGTCAGGCCCCCTGAAGTTTATTAGGATTACCAGAAATTCCAGTTTTAAGAAAGAATTTTATACTCCAGTCACATGTCACATTTTCTCATATATGGAAAGGGTGAGATGGCTGAGGTAAAAATTACTACTTCATCTAGGCATTGTAGACTCACACCAGTTGTTGTTGTTTTAAAACTTGGTTACACAATTAATTTGTTTACATATATTACATTACATATTGATAATTGCTCATTCTGCAAGAAAAGTTTTAAAAAGGATTAAAATCTGTCTTTCTTTCTTTCCTGTTTCCTACTCTTGCAGTTTTTTTATAACTCTTCTTACACAAATTAATTTCAGTACTAATTTTTGTGTATATAATTTTGGGAATATCTAAATTTATTAATTATTTTTTAAACTCATAATGAAATCTTATTCTATATGATTCATATGATGTGTTAATATATTTGAACTTTCTGCATCACATAGAAGAAAAGATACATTATAACAAATGACAGTTATTGTGAAAATTCACCTAAAATAGCAACTGTAGGCCTTTCATACTGATCATTATAATAGATAAAATATTATATAACAAGCATTGACTTTGCTAACATTTCTAGCATGTTTTTCTTCTACTTAGATAATCACTTTTCCAAATTAGAGAAAATATAAAGGGGTCAGACAGCAATCAGATATTTTATATAAACAATGAATGTTTTCCTGAAAAATGAAGAGACCCAGTGGAAGCTTTTCATAATGATATAGATCAAATAAGAACACTACCTAAAAGCTTCTTATAAAGCTTTTCTCTGAAATTTTCCATAAATGTTTTGTCCTAAGAAGACCTTTTCGTACTCATTTGCCTTAGTTATGTTTTATATATACGATTAAGCTTAATCAGAGACAAGCCAAGGTCTTGCCAAATAACTTGTCTTCAGAAATGAGAAGAGTGAAATTTATTTCACTCCTCTCATTTATGTGTCTGTTAAAATACGTCATCTTTCCAAACTTTGTGAGAGAATCGAAATTAGTGAAATCGAAATAGATATTCAGTTTGCTTTCAGTGTTGATAAATTTTACACAAGAAATTTGGGCAAATTTTTTTAAGCAGTTGGTTTTAATTTAGATTGCATACAATGCAAATAAATATTTACTCCAGAATTGAACTCAGAATGTAACTAGGAATTTTCAGCTACTTTACTTTATTAACAGTTAGTTATTAAGATTCTAGGGATATATAAAGTGTTTGAGCAACTGCAAAATTTATAAAACCTTTATTTAAGGTCATGTTCAAGTCAAAGTTGAATCACCTTCCACTCCTGTCTTTAAAAAAAAAAAAAAAAAAAAAAAAAAAAAAAAAAAAAAAATGCTCCAGAATTACAGTATTACGATATAATCAATAACAGCCTTACAAAAAAATAATGGATTATAAAGCTGCATTTACAATATATGACAAATATTGTATTTTTAGTTTAATTACATAAAAGTGTACTATTTTTTGAAATATTAGTATGTTTAGTTCATATGAGGCACATATTATATTAATGGCTAGAGCATCAAAAATGATATTGAAACAAGGTGTTCCTTAAATGTTGACTGATGTAATGGCACTAATATGAATAGACATATTTAAAATGACTGATATAAATCACTTTTACATTTCAAAAACAAGCATTGTAGAAATCTCTAACAGATTACAAGCTGAAAGAAAATTGGAAAAATGAAAAGCAGAAAAATTTATTGTTTTAGTTAAAACACAAAAAGACCCAACATATTTACATGCAAAATTCATGAAGACAAGCTTAAAATTCTTTCAAAAGGGAGAGGAGGCAGTTAGTTAAATTTGATTAGACTGCTGCTTTATCTGGAGATAAACTAGTATATGGTAAAAGAACAAATACAATGAGCACCTTGCACCTCACTATATTTGCTCTAAAAAATCTAAAATTTCATGATAACAATAAGTATGAAAAATAACCCAAGTTAGTAAATTCATTATCAAATATTTGCATGAATTTTTTACACTGAAGTTTCAAGTTCAGTGTAAAAGAACTTCAATGTTTAACTTATAAAAACTTCAGGATAATTTGGATAGTACGGAACTTCAGTGTTTAACCAATAAAACCATAATAAATAATTTACTAATTTTAATTTTTACCTTAAGAAATTAATATTAAAATTTACTTTTTTCCCCAAAAAAACTTTTAACAATATGAAAAATACAAGTTTAAACACTTTCTTCAATCATGTAATACTCTGCAATAAAGAATTAAACTGTGACACTGCTTTATCAAAATAACAATAAATCATAACTTATATAATCAATACAAACATGTTTCAGAACATTTTATAATAAAGTGAGATTGCTATTTTCCATTTACAACCTAATTCGAAAGTTAAAAAAACTTCAAAATGACTCATCTGTATGCAATATCCATAGCATATAATCTACATATAAAATGCAAGCCAAAAATAAAGAAGCCATTGGTACTAATGACCTGTTTTCAAATCTTGAGATTAAGAATAAAACTAAACTGAGGGAAAGATAATGACCTCTATAACATGTACTATCATTTGTTATGAACAGCACAAATGATGCATGAACACAAACTCGATGACAGTTATTTCTTACCACTCTTTAAGCAAGAGTAAAATTATGAGATATGAATTGATTCTCATTAAGTGGTTCATCTAACAGATAGCATAGATTGAGTATTATTACAAATTTCATATAATAAAACTGTTCAGAATACAGATTTAGGAAAAAATTACTTTTCAATATGCAAGTCATCAACTGGTTTTGTTGTTTTCAGTCGCCTTGTTATAGTTATCCGAAGACTATTTTGGGGTGAAGAAGGAGTTGTTTCAGAAAACCTATACAAGATAAATAAATTTCATAATATTTACAATTCATCAAATGCCTCTTAAATCAGCTTATGCAACGAAGAAAAGAAAAATAATATAAAATGCATCTAATAAATTAATATGTTTGTCAATGTTTTTAATACCATTGCATTTGCGATTTTTTATGATTCCGGGTTTTCTTTGGTCGTTTAGTATGCCTTGTCCGACGATTTGTTTCTGGTTCAGGAGAGCTTGCTTCCGGTTCAGGAGAGCTGTAGAAGATATAAATATCACATTTAATGATTATAGCAATGAAGGATTAAAACTTTTCTTCAATAACATGCTAAATTTTTAACATTAAAAACTGAATCATATTTCAACAAATTTTTTAAATTTCCCCAATTTTCACTATAGCGTAAATTGTTTAGAACCTGTAAAAAAACTAGAAGCTGCCAGATTTTATATTACATTCAAAGGGGATTTTTTTAAAAAATTATTTACATATGCATATATATTTCGAGAGCATCTGAGCTAAAAATATTTAAAAACAGTATATCTTTAGAATCACCCATGTGGTGACCGGTAGTGAAAGAATAGTCCCAATGTAACTCATGCATGTCATAAAAGGCGACTAAAATGGGCACCCCTGCCTCCAGGGGGTTCATAAATTTGAAGGCTTGGCCCTCCAGGTTGGGGGTTGAGCGCAAAGCCAATCCTCATAAAAACTTCTGATTCAGAAATCTCAAAAGGATTCTTCCGGACTGACACATTCAGGACTACCTGGCTTGAAATCGGATCTGAGATTTGGGACATGGAACATAAGAGCTTTAGATAAAGGCGGAGATTTGAAAATGCTTACTGATGTTTTTATTGAGTATAAATTAGATATACTGGCCATCCAAGAGATGAGATGGACTGGCAATGGAGTGATTGATAAATGTAATTGCAGTGTTTATTTTAGCTGCCATGACAAAATGCATCAGTTTGAAACTGGTTTTATTGTTGATAAACAAATTAGAGATAGAATCATCAAATTTAAGCCAGTGAATGAGAGTATTTGTAGGCTACGTACAAGGGTAAGACATATAATATTTCACTTATCTGTGCCCATGCCACCACTGAGGTTAAAGGGGATTAGGAAAAGGACAAAGTCTACAGATACATAGTCTTACAGATGTACACACATTCAGAGGTGCGAATGTGGATTCTGACCTCTTTCTAATTATTTTGAAATTGCAATATAAGATCAACAGATCTTGCAATAAAAGGAGGGAACAAAAATCTAAAAAGCTTGAGATATTGAACAGCTGAAGTAAACAGAGATAATTGAGAAGTATAGGAGAGAACTACAGAATAAACTGTTGACAAGTGAGGGGAAAGCCCGACAGCTGAGAATGCTTGCTAAAATCTAAAGAAAATTATCGTGGAAGCATCTGAGAAATACAATACCAGAAAAGCAAACGTAATCAGTGGTTTGATGAGGAATGCAGCAAGATTACAAAAAGGAAGAATGAGGCATATAAACTAATGATTCAAATACATTATACTAGAAATGCAGAGGAAAGGTACAAGGAATTAAGAAGAGAGGAGAAGAGAATTCATAGAAAGAAAAAGCGATTGTACCTGGATGAAGTTTACAGAGATACTGAAAATCTAAAAACAGAAAAGAAGCTAGGAAATTTTATCAGCTGATAAATTATAACAAAGTTGATTTTAATTCCAGAACAATAACTTAAAGGAAAAAAAATGGAAAAATTACCAGAGACATGAAGGAAGTTCTGGTTTGTTGGCATGAATATTTTAAGGGTCTGCTTTCGGGTAGAGAGAGGAGATAACTACTTATAACTTGCTACCTACTATGAGTTGTGAATGTGAGGTTAAGGAGCAGAATCCACCAACTCTATATGATGTTGAACTGGCAATTAAAAAGTTAAATAATAATAAATCAGCTGGACCGGATGCCATCAAGGTAGAGCTTTGAAATATGAATGAAATGAATTTAAATAAAGCAATCCATTATCTAATTTGTTGCATATGGACACAGGAACAAATGCCCCCTGAGTGGGAAGAAGGATATGTTTGTCCTATTTATAAAAAAGGAGACAAGCTAGAATGTTGTAATTACAGAGGGAATATCTTACTGAATTCAACATATAAAATCTCCTCCATTATTTTGTATAAACAATTGCTTACATATACTTCTAACATTATTGGGAATTACCAGCGTGGATTCTAGAAGGGAATAACTGATCAATCGCATTCTATTAGACAAATCTTAGAAAGAAATAAAGAATATAATATTGACATCTACCACCTGTTCATTGACTTTAAAGCCGCCTATGACAGTACTAACAGAGAAAAACTACTTGAAGTGATGTTAGAACTTGATTCCCGAAGAAACTGATAAGCCTTACAAGGTTGACTCTTAAAAAAGTGATATGTAAAATAAAAATTTCAACATACCTTTCAAAACCTTTTTATACTGAGAAAGGATTAAGACAGAGAGACTCATTATCTTGCCTGCTGTTTAATATAGCTTTAGAAAGGCCATAAGAGGCTCTGTAATAAACACAAGTGGAATCATTCTTGCACAGAACCATTCAATTGCTGGCTTTCACCGATGACATTGATATCATTGGGCGATCAAAACGAGTTGTGGTCGAGGCTTCTGTCTCACTTGAAAATGCAGCAAGAAAGATGGGCGTAAACATTAATGAAAACAAAACAAAATTTATGATTACATCTAATAAAACTGTTGATTTATCCCCCTTGAAGATAAACAGTTATACCTTTGAAATTGTAAAACAATTTAAATATCTAGGCACATTGATCACAAATTGCAATGATATAAAAATTGAAATAAAGAATAGAATATTTATGGCTAATAGATGTTACTACAGCCTTAAAAAAACTTAAATTGAAACTAATCAATGTAAAAACTAAATTAAATTTATATAGAACTTTAATAAGGCCTGTAGCCATTTACGGAAGTGAATGTTGAATACTTAACAGAGTAGATAAAGACTTAATTATCAACTTTTGAAAGAAAAATCCTAAAAAATATCTTTGGACCAGTACAATAAAATGGCATGTGAAGGATATTTTATAATCATGAACTTCTCAGAAAATATTGGAAATACAGTAAAACTAATATTGTCAGAATTGTTAAGGCATCTCGTATCAGATGGCCAGACCATGTGTTTAGATATGATGATGCATTTCCAACTAAAAAGATAACCTTGAGAATTGAGGGAGTAACACGAAAAGACGAAAAGGAAGACCACCCACTAGATGGATAAATGATTAAGACACAATAACACGCCGAATAAATACTAATTCAGAAGTCAAAAATCAGCGTTATATTTACAAAATTTTCACAGGACTAGTTTCGATGGTTTTAAAACCGAACCACCATCTTCAGCTGCAAACCCGCAAATGAACAAGATAGGAAAATAATGATTAGATAAGATAGAAAAGCCTGGACAAGAATAAGCAAGTGGCACCATCTGTTGGTGAAACCAGAACTAAAACGTAATTTCTTTAAAGGCCGAAGGCAAATTTGGATTGGAATTAGGATCGTTAACTAGAACAGAAAGATTTTTATGAATGTGAAATGCCTCTAGGAAATCCAGTTCTCCAATGGAAGATGTTTTTTGAATAATTTTGGCAGCAGAAAAACTGAAAGTGGGGTTTTCGGACCAACAATGTTGAGCAACAGAAGACTTCTGTGTTTCCTTTTTTCTAACATATGCCTCATGTTCCTTGACGCGAAATTTTAAGGCTCTCTTAGTTTGGCCAATGTAAATTAAACCACACTGGCAAGGAATCCTATAAATACCCCAGGAATTCATATCCGGAATGGGGTCCTTGAGTATGGAACTCGGAATTTTATTGATGGGAGAATAAACAACCCGAAAGTTAAATTTCTGCAAAATATGTGCAACTTTATAGCTAATTGATGGAAAGAAGGGAATGACAACAGAATTTTTACAATCTCCTAAAACAAGAGTGTGCCTTTTTAGTGTGTTGAGATGAGAATTTTTTAACTGCTTGATTAATAATGTTGGGTGGAAAGCCCCTGTCATAGCTATTGCTTTTAAATAATTTAGTTCTTCATCAAGGGCTAGTTTGGAGGAGCAAACTTGAAGAGCACAGAAAACATAGGAATAAAATGAAGCTAACTTTTGTTTAGTCGGATGACATGATTTAAAGTGTGTGGAAGGCAAACCGATGAAGGTTTACGGTAAACCGTAGTACTGAAGTTGGATGTGTTACGTGTGATCAGAATGTCGAGAAACGGAAGAGAATTGCAAGTCTCAAGTTCAAAAGTGAACTGAATAGCAGGATCAATAGAATTCATTGTTGAAAGAACTTTATTTAAATCATTTTTATTACCTTCAAACAGAGTAAAAGTATCGTCTACGTAGCGGAACCATGCCGGGAAGTTTAAAGTTTCAAACAATTTTGATTCATAATAATGCATGTAGATATCAGCCAGGATGGGACTGAGGGGGCTTCCCATGGCTAATCCCTCAGTTTGCTTGTAATATTTATTTTGGAAAACAAAATGTGTTTGTTTCAAACAGAGTTGAGTGAGAGAAATTAGCTCATCAATTTCGATGCAAGAGAAATGAAATTCGCGAAGTCTGGTTTCTAGACATCTTAATGCACCCTCCACTGGGACATTGGTGAATAATGATTTTACATCAAAAGAAACCATGAGTAAATTACTAAGAGAAATGTTTTTAACTTTTTTTTACAAACTTTATTGAATTTTTTTTTATGGTGTAAATGTTATTGTCTAATAGAGTTGAAAATCTAGAAAACTAAATATTTAGCTAATGGATACGAGGCAGTACCTAAATTTGATACAATAGGGCGGAAAGGAATACTACTTTTATGAATTTTGGGAAGAGCATATAATCTGGCACAATTCGCAACAGATGGGATAAGTGAATGTTTTAAGTTGCCTGAAATGATTTGCGAAGATTTGATCGCAGTTTTTATTTTTGACAAGTCCGAAGGTGAAGGATCTTTAGGGATCGGATTATATGGTCCTTCGTTTAAGAGTTTAGTGACACCATCGATGTAAGTGTTCCTATCCATGACGACTATCTGGCCACTCTTGCATGGAAATTGATGAGCTAATTTCTCTCACTCAACTCTGTTTGAAAGAAACACATTTTGTTTTCCAAAATAAATATTACAAGCAAACTGAGGGATTAGCCATGGGAAGCCCCCTCAGTCCCATCCTGGCTGATATCTACATGCATTATTATGAATCAAAATTGTTTGAAACTTTAAACTTCCCGGCATGGTTCCGCTACGTAGACGATACTTTTACTCTGTTTGAAGGTAATAAAGATGATTTAAATAAAGTTCTTTCAACAATGAATTCTATTGATCCTGCTATTCAGTTCACTTTTGAACTTGAGACTTGCAATTCTCTTCCGTTTCTCGACATTCTGGTCACACGTAACACATCCAACTCCAGTACTACGGTTTACTGTAAACCTTCATCGGTTTGCCTTCCACCACACTTTAAATCATGTCATCCAATTAAACAAAAGTTAGCTTCATTTTATTCCTATGTTTTCCATGCTCTTCAAGTTTGCTCCTCCAAACTAGCCCTTGATGAAGAACTAAATTATTTAAAAGCAATAGCTATTGACAGGGGCTTTCCACCCAACATTATTAATCAAGCAGTTAAAAATTCTCATCTCAACACACTAAAAGGCATACTCTTGTTTTAGGAGATTGTAAAAATTCTGTTGTCATTCCTTCTTTCCATCAATTAGCTATAAAGTTGCACATATTTTGCAGAAATTTAACTTTCGGGTTGTTTATTCTCCCATCATAAAATTCCGAGTTCCATACTCAAGGACCCCATTCCGGATATAAATTCCTGGGGTATTTATAGGATTCCTTGCCAGTGTGGTTTATTTACATTGGCCCAAACTAAGAGAGCCTTAAAATTTTCGCGTCAAGGAACATGAGGCATATGTTAGAAAAAAGGAAACACAGAAGTCTTCTGTTGCTCAACATTGTTGGTTCGAAAACCCCACTTCAGTTTTTTTTTTCTGCTGCCAAATTATTCAAAAACATCTTCCATTGGAGAACTGGATTTTCTAGAGCATTTCAATCATTCATAAAAATCTTTCTGTTCTAGTTACGATCCCTAATTCCAATCCAAATTTGCCTTCGGCCTTTAAAGAAATTATGTTTTAGTTCTGGTTTCACCAACAGATGGTGCCACTTGCTTATTCTTGTCCAGGCTTTCTTATCTTATCTAATCATTATTTCCTATCTTGTTCATTTGCAATTTTGCAGCTGAAGATGGTGGTTCGGTAAAACCATCGAAACTAGTCCTGTGAAAATTTTGTAAATATAACGCTGATTTTTGTTGTTTGACTTCTGAATTGGATAAATGATGTCGAGCAAGATTTAAGGTTAATTGGAGTTAATAGAAGGATATTGCGCCAAATGTGGTCAGGTGGAGGAAACTTGGAGAGACAGCCTTGGCCTGTAACAGGCTGTGGAGCTTATGAAGAAGAATATTAATATCTTTAGAATTTCAAACTGTTGGTCTCGCGTGCTGGAGATAACAATATTTTATTCCATACAGTGTGTTGCCATTGCTGGCTTTGAAGTTGTTGAGTTTCTTAATCAAAAATCAGTTAAAGTTTTAAAAATATGAAATGGATAATAAGACAAATTCAGTTTCAGATACAGGCTTTCCATATTCGGAGGGAGGATTATGGTATTAAAAGTTTTATGGCTCTAAGTACCGTTTTTTCGAGAAACATACATACATTCATGCAGATTTTTCATTATTTATTTTTTTTTAATATAATACATGGTGACGATATTTGGTGGCAACAATTAAAAAAGTGATACAGCTGTTTATGGTGATTTGATGCAAAATGTTGTTTCGAGACTAATACCCTTCCGCACATTTTTTTATCACTGCATTCAAACATATATATTTAAAATATTGCAAACGTTATTGCACAAAAAAGAGACTTATTAATCTGGGGTGTTTTTCATTCTAATTTTGAACAGACTGCATTAAATTTACGGAATAGAATGATTTTTCGCTTGGGTTGGTAGATCGCAGAACTCTTAGTCCTATTCAATCCAAATTGGAAAAAGTCCGTTGCTTGTTTTGCAGCGAACTGTAATGGTTTCAATATTCTAGATTTTGCTAAGAAAGGGGAGAACCTCCAGACCTCCGTACTGAATAATGTATTGGAAAAAAAAAAAAAAAATTTTTTTTTTTTTTTTGACTATTCGATTACTTTGCCTTTATTTAAGCCATTCCGAATATTATTCCTTAGAAAGCTAATCTGTGTTAAAACACATATACCCATTTTTGAAAGTTTATCTAATACTTCAGCAATTACTGCAACTATATTATTATAAATATTCATACATATAATATAAGCATAACAATCATCAGGGGTGTAGCTAGAGGGGGGCAAGGGGGGCATCTGTCCCTGAGTGCAGAATCCTAGGGGCGCCAAACTGATGTTACAACATTTTAGAATTAAATGCATTCCATCTTTGGCAAGCAGTAGGGGGCACGAAACCTTCAGTTGTCCCTGGGCGCTGAAAATCCTAGCTACGACTCTGGCGATCATAATAAATGCGAATATGAACTGACCACGCGGAACGAGAATGCAAATTATTAAAATGTTAATAGAAATTCAAACGTGTGTAGTATTTGAGTGGAAGGATAAGAATATTGAATGTACCGGAATTTTCTACCTCTTTCGCAATTCATTGACCAATAGAACGACGTGCACCTGTCTGTACTCTTGCGTGTACCAAAGGTTACGTTAATGCAGAGAAAGGGGGGAAAGTTATTTCCGGGAGTATGATTGACCATCTGAAAGTTGTTTATTTAGTTTCGGCTTTGGTACGGGGAAAAATGCGTGTGCATTTAAAAAAAAAAAAAAAAAGAGCACTAAAAGCAAAAAATAAGCACTAAAAACCAAAAAAAATAAGGGCTTTAAAGAAAAAGTAAGCCCCTATAAGAGTCTTTAGGTTTTATTTTCTAATATAAGGACTTATAAGCACTTGGAAGGACCGCTACGAACCCTGTTCAACAATAGGGAATTTGCCGTTCCTAGCAAAGTGCTGCCCTGGGCAGATGCCCCATCTCGCTACGCCACTGGGCAATACAGTAATTGAAGAAGTTCTGGTTAGCGAATAATTTTTTACATTTGCTGGTTAGTGAATAATTTTTTACTTTCTGATTAAGAAACTGCTTTTTTAGAACTTGCTCGGATGCTTCAAGGAAAAGCTTAGATTTTACTCTTTTATCTACAAGTGGTTGTGAATTACTGTAACCAGTATTGCTTGCCCCCCCAAAAAAAACTGAAGATTGTTGCTTTTTCCATTCATCAGAAGCTTGGAATGATAAGTAGAGAACTGATCAAGCATGAATTCAGTTTTTTTTGTAGTACGAAGTTGGCGAGCCGCCTGTCGATAATTTATTAAAGAAAACGGATCAACTTACATGGTTTGCATGTGCATCTGATTCTGAGATGGGAATGAAGGAAAAGAAAACAATTAAAAAGTCAACCCACGAAGACCTACATAAAGCCATGCTGGAGTGGTTTAGGCAGCAGAGACAAGAGGGAAACCCAATAAATGAACTGATTTGTACAGGAAAAGCTAAATATTTTTTTCAGCAATTAAGACTTAAGGGCGAATTCTGTGCATCATCAGGATGGTTTATTTATTCAAACAATACTCTAGTATTTAACAGTTCGAAGTGCAGGGTGAACTTCTGAGTAGTGATCAGAATACAGCAAGACTTTTGCGAGACAAAATTTCCTTCCAGAGCAGACATACAATGCAAGACTTTTGCGAGACAAAATTTCCTTCCAGAGCAGACATACAATGTTGATGAATCGTTATTTTTGAAATGCTTGGCAACAAAAACCTTTGTGTCTGAAAAAGAAAACCAATGTCTTTTAAAAGTATGGAAACAACCAACTTGCCAATGGACTATCTCAATCAGAAAAGGGAAGGATGAATAGAATCATATTTCAGCAGTGGTTTGATACAAAATTTGTTTCTCAAGTAACAGACTTTTTAAAATCACAGGATCTTCCTGGAAGAGCAGTGTCAATTTTAGACAATGTGCCACCCCATCAAGTAAATAGATATTAAAATCAGGAGATGGACAATTTTTCGTAAAGTACTTGCTACCCAATGTGACAGCCCTGATACAGACAATGCACTAAGGTGTTACTGCATCGGTCAAATGAAAGTATCATTCTGCATGTTAAGTAAATTGATTAAGGAAGATCATTATCCTAAAATTTCCTGAAAAAATTTTCAATTCTGGATGCTATCTATGAAAGTACTATTGCAGGGAAGAAAGTGAAATATTCAATGCTAAATCTTGGAGAAAAATTCTTGCAGACTTGGAAGAACATTACAGTTTTGATACAGACACAGAGGTGTCACCAGCTTATCTTGCTCTCAGATTGCAAACAGTGTGCTACCTGGACTTGAACATTTGGTCAAAGAAAACATTTTTGAATAGTGGCTGGAGTGTGATTGCAACTTGCCCTCATTTGAAACCCACACAATTGAACAAATTGTTAGTTGTGCGGAGGGGTGAAGCATTAAGTGACAGCAAAGGGAGGAGAGTGGAGGCGGGAAGCAGTCTGCTGATGTTAAGGTCATTCATGGAACTACACTTTATCAAGTCTAGTGCCTTCTGGACTACTTGGAAGGGCAAGAAGATAGTCTGCTGACTGACAAAACGACAATATGCAAGCTGAGGACATCCATTTAAAAAAAAAGCCAACTCGGCGAAGAAAGTTCTGACTGACTTTTTTTACATGAATTTGAACTGTCAGAGTGATTTTTTTTTTTTTTTTTTTTTTTTTTTATATTTTACAGTTCTGCATTTTTGCTTGTTGATGAGGTTGGTTTGAAACTCCTGAAAATACTGTACAGATAAACTGTTTTTGTAGCATTTTTCTCTTCATATATTATAATGATTTATCTCGACCTTTTTTTAAATAAGTATCAATATCACATATGTTTAAAGTATGGATTACATACATTTTATAAATTTCCTTTGATATTAATAGTTTTAAGACATGAAATTAAGAGTCTTAAATGATACTGATAATTGTTCTTAAAAATTATTATTTTCTTAAATAAAAATAAAACATACTCTATAACAACTGCAACATCCTTTTCTTGCGATTTCACTCTCCCTCCTCTCCCTGTGAAATGAAGAGCAAAAACAAAATGATATCAGTTAGCAATAAATTACAAAATATAAAATAAAAGTATATTACTTGAAAATCGCTATGGAACAAATAATTAGGAAAATTTTTGTTCTTGATAGAATTGTAGGAAAAACAAAATGATGCTACAGGATAAAATCTTTTTTTTTTTTTTTTTTTTTTTTTTTGCACAAAATACAGCACACCTGTGTTGTTTCTTTATTGATAATTGAAAGCAGCAGTATTTGAGAGTAAAATCATGCTATTAGTTTCGGAAATTATTACTATAAATTAAAATTTTTGACACCAAATACAAGAGGATAAATATATCGCCTTAGCTGTGAAAAGAATCAGAAATGCTATTTTCAGTCAGATAGCTGCAAACAGTGCTAATACTACTTATATTCAAATATATGCAATAAGTATTTGTCAGCAATTAAATAACGTTGGCTTTTAAATGCAAGGAAGCCTACTGCAAGCATTCCACTATCACCATTGAAAAAGATTACATTAAAGCAAGGAACATATTCGATAGGATCAATGGTTCAGAATCATGTTTTCTGATGAATCGAACTTCACTACCAACATTGATCCTGGACATCAGTATTGTGGAAAGTGAGGGAGAACTCATTCCCAGAACATTCAGGAAACTGATTGCTATGGAAGAGAAATAATTGTGTGGGTGGGTATCATGCGACAGGATTCCTCTTCATTTTTCTGATGAAGGTACAGCAGTAGTGCATCAAAATTGGTCCAGATTTTCTGCTCATTGATGACAATGCCCACCTACATAAACTAGCTAAAGTGTCATATACTAACAGGGAAAGATAGTGAATACATGACATGGTCTGCACATTCCTCAAACCTAAATCTCCCAGAGCATGCCTGGGCTACATTAGGAAGATGTTTTGCTCAGAGAAAGTATCCTCCTTGTATTCAAGAATTTGAAATTGTAATGACAGACTACTGGAAAACAATCTCCCCAGTTCTCTTAAGGAGTTCAGTGGACAGCGTGTATAACAGAGCCCAATGCCTGTTCTCAATAAAGTCACACTCCATACTGACAAATTCATAGATTTTACCACAAGTATTTTTCATAATTGTTGAGTATAGCTGTTGAGGATTTATTTTTTGGCTTATCTTATTTTGTCATGTGGTGATACTTGTACCGTTTTGCAAAATAACGATACTTTTTAAATATTTTTTTAAGTTTACCTAGTTATGATGGAAAATGACTGTCCTTTAGCAGCTGCTATAAAGTGTAATTATGGCAAGAAAATCACGGATGATTGAACCTTATTTCAAAATCTTGAAAATTTTCCTTGAAGGAAAAAAAAATTAACAATTTCAAATAATATAGACTATGTTGTATGGTTACTCTCTGAAACTTACTAAAGTCCTTCAGCCCTACTAAGATGAACAAGTGAGTTATTGTCCATCTATGAAATAACAACCGAGTCAAAGAAGGTTTAAACAAACCTTTTATTAAAAGCTTTAAGGTGCAAAATTCGTGCTTACAAATTTAATCTTCACAGCTTGCAAGATAGTAGTGGAAGAAAAAAGGTCAATTTAAAGTTTAAATAAATTCTATACAGAAGACTACAAAGCAAACACTTGTGTTGGCTCAATTTATTGAGTTTTTTATTTTGACTCACAAAATGGCTAATGCCGGATAACTATTTAGCATAGCTGGTAAAGATAATAGTACTACAGTGAGTGTTGCTGCCAAGGCAGCAACACAACAAAAACTTCAAACTCTCTGACTTAATCCTTTAACTGTCAAGTTATTTGATGATTTGGTACACCAATTGTCAAATTTTTTATTGGAAACTAAATGTAGCGAAATAAACATCTCCGATATATATTGGGTATGACAAACGATTGCAATCAAAAAAAAAAAAAATTACCCCGAGAATACTGGCGTGACATTTCGAACACCAGTGCTGTGCCCGAGATAATCTCGGGCATGACAGTTAAAAGGTTAAGTACTCTTAATTCATTAACATCCTAATGAAGATAAACTCATTATACCCTAATTTGAAAGCTAATGAAAAGAAAAAGTGATTGTGAAGTTCCAAATCACAGAAAATGGGTTATTTAATACAAAACACACTTTAAGATGTGACACAAAATACACTCGCATACAAACAATTTCATTAGTGAAGCAAAAAGTGTAATTCTTTTTTACTTATTTTTTACTATACCTTTTCATGTATTAGCTTTTTGGTTTCTCAACATTTCTTAAAATAACTGCTAAGTTTAGCTTGCTTTTCAGGAGAAAGGTTTTAAATTCTTGGAAATGCTCTGTTTAAATTCTTTTTGCTAACAATTGATTATTAATTATTATCATTTTGATGTAGACAATGACTCGACCCTTCAGGTACTAAGATTACAGCATGATGTAGGCATATTAACAACTGGGGGAGATTAGAAATCATTTTAACAGATGATGCTAGTATGAAAAAAATGGTTTATAGAATGTAAAGAATTTAAGCAAGCTGCTCAGATACTCAATAAATGATCTTCAAAATCTTTATTAATAGGATCCTTACAAGTATATTTTTATCCAAAAATTTTATATGTATTATTGTTTAATGAGAATAAATATTTCAGTCTTCACAGTCTAATTAGGCTGTCAACTTTCAAGGTTGTTCTACATTCTACTATAACATGAC